TTTTCCTAGAAATTAAACAACAATCCATAAGATTTCGAGGTTGTTTGTCTAGCGCAACATAAATCCTCCACCTTTTCTTTAGGCATTCATATAGCTCTGTTGTACGATTTAAGCCCTAACTTGTTCTAGGTTCCGAGGTTGTCGTCCGATACGACGTAAACTCTTATATCTTCCAGGCGGTTTGTGTGACCATGTTACGCAAATATAAGCCCTAATTAAATAAAATTGACAGGATGAAACACTTGAATAATTTCTTCTCGAAACTGAGGCCAAACCATAGGATAGACTGGGAAGTCACCAAGGTTTGCCTTCGGAGCTATGACCTCCCCTAGTTTCTCTTCACTTGGATTCCTCAACAATGTTCCAGATTTGAGTCTTTCCCCTTTCACATCTCTTCGTCCGATTTCGTTGAAAAGTCCCATCCTTTTGACTTCTTTGAAGATAGTATTCCCTGATTTTTATCGAGAGTTTTCTTAGGTGACTTTGGTCATTTAAGATATAATTAACTATAGGGGCTTGCCTTTATAGGGAGCTTTTCTGAACCCAACCTAAAATAAACCCTATTTAATTCTTTATATTAAATAGGGGAACTTGTCGGCAAATAAAACGGTTTCGCAGATCAAACAAATGTCATATGCTTGCTTAGTTTACTTGATCGAGCATCATCCTCAAGTCTTGTGTTTATCCCTCGGGATAGATACATGATTTGAGGTAAGACGCTATTTAATTTAAACTATGAAAAATATGAGGTCAGTTTGATTTCATATTTTTCTAAAATTATATATATATGTATGTAAATTAAACGTCTTTCCGAAGCGGGCGACGAGACTTTACTTCCAGCGATCGACAGCTTCTTCAGACAACTTTTGAACAAACCACCTTTAAATCTTTAACTTTACCCCCTTTCCGCGCCGACAGAGCGGTATTACTCCAACAATAATATGACAATCGCCACAACCCATATCATTCTTTTATGACGCTCTTGCTGTCGATCCATTCTAAAGAAGTTAGTTGTTAGAACAAAAGAAAGTGTGGAAAAGTAATAACACTCAACTGAAATGACCATATATCAACGACTTTAAAGCTCACAAATCAATTACAAACGATTGTTCTGAAAAATAAAGAAAAGCGTAGAAATCCAATACAAACAAAAACTATTGACATGAACATATAAAACAGGCTCGTTTTTCAATCAATACACGTAAATATTCAATACTTAGCTCGGGCCGCTGCATCATGAATATTTGACTTTGGATCGAGTCCTTAAGCAATTTAACATATTTTACATAAACACGCATATCAGTCACAACTTCTGAAAGAGCATCTAAAACTACAATAAAATCTACGATGGTGTTGTCAGGTGGAGCAGCAGGTGGTGGAGCTGCAAAAACATCAATCGGTTTATCTATTGAGCTTTTCACAAAAAATTTGTTTTCTTTCCTCCATTTCTCAAGCCTGAGCCTCTTTGGCTGACAACTGGACTGTCTCTCTTTGGTTAGTGTTAGGCCCTTCACTAGAACCTGAACCTGCTCAGGTGGCAAGTCATCAACTATGCCTGCAAACCCCTGTTCACTTGGGTTGAATGCATGCTGACTCATCGCGATAGCCTGCTTAAACATTAAGTTCAATTTATCTTTCAACTCCGGGTCAAATCCGCACACCTTATATTTTTTGGCAGCTGGTATTGCTTGCAATGTTGGGGGGGAGGGGGGGGTGCATATTAGTTAAAACAAACAAAACTGATAATAAGCTAAAATAAAGTATAATTATTACCTCTAATTTTTCAACCTACCATTTCTCTGGAGCATCAATGATTTGCTTAATGGGATCCCAACCCAACCCAGTGAATCTTCGTTTCAGCTCTTTCCATATCTTTCACTTCTTATTCAATTGATCCCATTTGTTTTTGAATTTGAGCCCGTCATAATCCTTTCCGTCAATTCTTTAATCCTCTTCACAATATTATGCCAATCTTATTAAAATTCATGGTTGACCTATTTTCGAGCTCAATTTCTTTTATACAAAGATTGCAAAAAATGTTCGTTACCTTTTTATCCCACATTGCTAACGAACTCTTTTCATCAGTCTTAGCCATGTTGGAATTAAATGTAGAATTTATAGTTAAACAAATTGACTAAACTAAATGAAGAATTTATTGAATATATATATGTGTAATGCTATATCACTAATTTCTATAAATTCCATAATATGGATAAATTTATTGGTATTGAGCATGCATAAATTTCTCCAATAGGTGATTCTTCCCTAACTACCTCATTGGTGTGTATAGGCAATATTAAAAACATTCTTTTGACTTAGCAGCTAACAGGAAATAATCCATGATATGCGTATTCAAGTACTCCAACGCAGCTAAATGATTCTGGCTCAAAATAATTCCTCAAACTTGCTTAGGAGAATCCACAAATCTCCTTGAAAACAGGCATTCAAATAGCCAATACATCTGGCTTTAAACATGTAATCAAATATTCCCATGTTAGCTAACAAGAGCTCATCAAAACAAGCACTCGGGTATACTAGATAAATTAAGAAGAGTCACCTAAAACTCTTGTGCATTTACATATAAAACTCTTATGCATTTACATCTAAAACTCAAATTTGCATATCTAACATCTGCAATCATTTGCAAAAACTTTACATACATACCGACCAATTCTTATTCATTTACTCATGAAACACCTAAAACTCTGCCTCCAATTCATGCTTCGACACGTAGAAATTATTTAAATAGATAGATCGAAACAGATATGGGACAACAAACGAGCCACAAAATTTCAGAAACAAACGTTTGTGGCATAATAAAAAGCTCTAAACATTAGCAACTTAAGAACAAGCACAGTTCCAAACTGCACTGCAACCATCCAACAAGAATAGCTCATTCCAACATGCTTCCACTAAGCCCAATTGCTTTGCAAGCATAGCTTGCTCTCTTGGCAATTCCAATGAACGAAACATATTGAAATGCTAAGACAGAAACCCAAGACATAAAATCATAAATCCTAAAAAATTGAGGAGAAGAATCTGAAAGGGGAGAAGGAACATATTGAAATGCCAAACACATTCGAAAGACGAGAAAATTCCATACAACTAATCAATCGAAAGCCCAACATTACCCAACGAAATCCAACTGAAGGAGCACCAACTAACGAAAATCATTCAATTCAATACTTACAGATCGACCGTCAGGAGAGGGCTTAGCAAGGATTTAAGGCAGATGAGAGGCGAAAGAGCAGTGAGCAGTCGAATCGAGCACGAGAGCTCGAGAGGCGAAAGACGCGGGATCGAGTTTGGGAAGACGAGAGAAAAGAAAGCTAGGTAAAACGAAACTAACGAACGCAGGCCGCGGGGTCGATCTCACGGCCGCATATATTAAAAAAATAACGGTGGCGATACGAAAACGCCGTTTGAACATGTTAAACAAACGCATATGTGACATTTTCAAAACGCCGCCGCACCAAATAATCGCCCCCAAACGGGCCCTAAAACATCTACTCTTCTAATCGAATCATCAGATGATCAACGTTTAATGTGACCCATTTATCTAAGACGATTCTCTCTAACTTTGTCTGTCACTGGAGCTACACCCACTCTATCATGGATATATTCCTTTCACATTTTGTCTCTAAGTGTAAAGCCACTCATCGACCTAATCATTCTCATCTCGGCAACACTTAACTTAGTTTTATGCTTCTCTTTTAAAGGCCAATATTCAACGCCATAGAGCATTGCAGGTTTCACCACTATTCTATAAAAACATCAGAAGTCCTGGTGAGTGTGAGTCACATTTGGTGAAATGATGTAAGCGTTTCATAATATGTTTATATTCATTCTGTTATTATAAATAGATTGGCCTTGTAATAAATAATACAGATTAACGAGCTTTCCTCTATACAATTTTACATCTTCATGCCATTTTACTTATCATGTGTCATGTATGCCATTATTAAATTTAAGTTGACAATATGTGAATTAAAATTTTAAGTTGTGTGATTTCAATATGACCTTAACAAAGTTAAGGGAATTCTGATTTTCAAAGCCACAACATTATCGAACACTATTAATAATTAGATTCATATTGTGTTCCTAGTGTCATTTGCTTATTACTAGTGTTTTAAAGCTTCGTTTCCCAGCTAAGTTTCTATTTTCTAACCATCTCACTGTGAACGTATGTCCACTTCAAATGCACTCTCTTAGAGCCCATTTGATTGCTTATTGTTAGAAAACTGCTTGCAGTAAATGATTTCATTTGTTTGTTCATTTTGTCTGTGAAAATGAAGACTTTACTTTTGACGAGTTACATTATCGAACGCTATTAATAATTAGATTCATATTGTGTTCTTAGTGTCATTTGCTTATTACTGGTGTTTTAAAGCTTCGTTTCCCAGCTAAGTTTCTGTTTTCTAACCATCTCACTGTGAACGTATGTCCACTTCAAATGCACTCTCTTAGAGCCCATTTGATTGCTTATTGTTAGAAAACTGCTTGCAGTAAATGATTTCATTTGTTTGTTCATTTTGTCTGTGAAAATGAAGTCTTTACTTTTGACGAGTTTGCCAAGTATAAAACTCCTGGATTTTTTATTACATCTAACCATCTCACTGTGAACGTATGTCCACTTCAAATGCACTCTCTTAGAGCCCATTTGATCGCTTATTTTTAGAAAACTGCTTGCAGTAAATGATTTCATTTGTTTGTTCATTTTGTCTGTGAAAATGAAGTCTTTACTTTTGACGAGTTTGCCAAGTATAAAACGCCTGGATTTTTTATTACATCTGACCAGATGAAAGAATATATTAAATTCATTGTTTTCTGAACATGGTTTCAAGCAACCATATGTGCCACTTAGTTTTTCATAAAATTTGGCATGTTTAACCTTTTATTAGCTAGTGAAAATTTATAAGAAGGTGTACATCTTTTCTTCAAGATGTTCTTACCTACTCCTTGGTATTTCAATTCAGAAGACAGTGCTGTCTGCATATTACTTCTAATTTGACATCTTCAGAAATCTGTGACTATGAATTCAAAGAATTCAGAAGCAAATTGTGCTCAAGAACAGCGACTGCTTGAGGAGAAGAAAGCTAAGGTAAGGTTAATCAAATCCAGGTTTCCTTTATTAGCCATTTAACATTAGTATTAGTGTCAAATTTACTGTCCTTTTGTTTGAATATTCTTACCAATGAACAAGGATTTGGGTTGTATGTATTGTTGACTCCTTTAGGTGGGTGTCAAGCTTTGAATCCCCTTTGAAACATTTATTATTACTATTTTATAATGTGCGGTGGTTGATTGCATCAAGGCAAGAAAGTCTAATCCTGCTTCTGCGTTAGGCTACCCAATGCATGCTCGGGGGACCCAACGCTTGGCTGGGCATGGGCGACCCATTGCTAGGGATGGTTACCCAGTGCTTGGCTGTGTATATGGGTGATCCATCACCAGGGAGGGTGATCCAATGCCCAGAGCCTAGATGAACGTCTTCTGCAACAGAGTTGTAGTTAATCCAGTGCCCAAAAGGAGCACAACCGCGCCTAGATATGCTCGTTTCAATTGGAAACTGAGAGTCTAGAAACTTGGCGCTCTGGATAAGCGATTGGGTGCCAGAAATAGTTCGAGCAGTTTAAGAATTTAAGTTATCAGTGCGAAATTTGGAGTAGTTCTTGGCCGTGAGCGCACAAGAGAGAAAGACAAAATGTGCGATGAATGCAAAAAAACACGCCAAGTTCTGTGGGTGGATTTATGTGATTTTTTTTTTTGTGTAGTCGGAGGAGGAGCGTTCATAAGTTCCAGGATTATAGAGAGGTGTGTAGTCGAGAGAGGAGCGTTCATAAGTTCCAGGATTATAGAGAGGATTTGAGTGTAGTGTAATCCTCATTTCATAGTGAATTTTTTGGTATGACGTGGTTACATGATTTTTTCCTGTTCTCAAGCTTTTCCACATTAAATCTGTGTTTTTTTTTTGGATTTCTTATTTGTACGCTTATGTTCAATTGTTTGTTTTAGATCTCTCGAATCATTGTTTTTTTTTGCAAATCTAGGGAAGTGAATATCCTCCCAACAAGTGTTATCTGAGCGAGAGTTTTTTGAAGATCTTTGACTCGAGTGGGAGCAATGGCCGATAAAGTAAGTTACAAAGTGGAAAAGTTCAACGGTTTGAACTTTGTGTTATGAAAAATGCAAATTGAAGATTTACTATGTCGAAATAAACTATATTTGCCACTTAAATGAACCACTAAGAAGTCTGAATTGATGACTATGGATGAATGAGAAGTGTTTGATTGAACAACACTAGGTTTAATCTGTCTTTCACTTTCCCCATATGTTGCATTCAACATTATGAATGAGAAAGCTATGTTAGATCACATGACTGTGCTAATAAGGATGTATGAGAAGCCCCAACTTCATATGAAACTTTTTTGATGAAGTGATTGTTCAATATGAAAAAAGTGAAAATTAGTTTGGTGGGTGAACATTTAAATAACTTCAACATTGTGATAAATCAATTCTGTTTTGTGGGCAACAAGTTTGATGATGAAGTCAGGGCATTGACAATCCTATGTACTAGTTACGACGTTAAGCAACTCTTCATGTAATATGAAGCTACACTTTGCTGACATTGTGGGATTTGTGTTGAATGAAGAAATTCATAAGGAGGTGAATGGTGAAACTTTAAATTATGCATTGAATGTTGAAAACATAAAGAAATCTGGACAGGAAGATAGACAGGGACAGATTCAAGTCCCGAAGAGGAAAGTCTAGATCGGAGAGAGAAAATGACAGAGGTGAATGATGGAACTGCAGGAAGAAATGTCAATTCAAGAATGACCGTAAAGCTCCAAAAAAGATTGGTGGTGGAGGTCAAGATAGGAAACTGTGTATAGATGTATCCACAAATGAAATCCAAGCTGACTCGCTTATTTTGTCTCAACTTAGTATTGAATCTTGACTAGTAGACATGGTCTCTTTTCATACTTGTCCCAATAAAAAGGTGTTTAAAAACTACATTGAGAGTGATCTAGGGAAGGTGTATTTGGGAGATAACAAAGTCTGCAGTATTATAGAAAATGTGATGTTGATATAGGTTGTCATATGGAATAGTTTGGAAGCCCGGTGAAGTTAGACATGTTCCATGCTTAAAGAGAAATTTAATCTCGACGAGCCAACTTGCACAATCAGGGTACGAGACTACTTTCACTGTTGATTCGTGTAAGGTAACCAGAGGGGCAATGATGATGACTCAAGGTAACATTGAAGATACTTTTTACTTGATCAATGATATGCCAATATCTTTTGGTGTAGCTGGAACAAAGGCTGATGCAGGTCTTTGGCACCTCGGGCTTGGCCATATGATGGTTTGAAGTCCCTACTTTCTAAAAATATGTTTTAGGATTTAAAGTTTATAGTGGCAGATTTTGTGAATATTGCATTTATGATTAGCAAAAAAAAGTTACTTTCTCCAAAAGTTGGTCAAATGTGAAATGCAAAAAGCTGGAGTTAGTGCATACTGATGTACGAGATTTTAGTTTTGTCTATATAGATGCTCATTACTTGTCATTGTCGTTGATGATCACACCAGAAAGACATGACTGTACTTCTCGAAACATAAATACGATGTATTTGAAGTGTTTAAGAAGTGCAATGTCATGGTTGAGAATGAGACAGACTTGACGTTGAAGTATCTCATATCAGATAATGGTGACGAGTATCGTGATAAAAGGTTCATGCACTATTGTGCATCAAAAGGAAGTAGACATGAGTTCACAGTTTTAAGGACCCCACATTAAAATGGTGTGGCTGAGCTCATAAATAGAACCATCACACAACGTGTCAGGAGTATGAGGTTGCATGCTGGCTTGCTAAATTAATTCTGAGCAGAAACAATGATTACTATAGTTTATCTAATAAATTGTGGTCTGTCATTACCTTTGAATAAATGTTTAACTGAAAAAACTTGAAGTGCCAATGAGTTAAGTTTATCTCACTTGAGAGTATTTGTTGTTCAACATACATTCATATAGATGCAGGATCTAGAGTAAGCTTGATTCAAAATTTGTTGAGTGCACTTTCGTTGGATATAGCTCAAATGAATCTGGGTACAAATTATGTGATTGTTGGAATCAAAAGTTCATCAATAACAGTGATGTGACTTTCAATGAGCTGGAGATGTACAAAGATAGAAACATAACTCAGAATTGTCCATCAGTTACTTCTGAAGAACCTTCCAAATATTTTGAGATAGAAAATATTGGTAGTCGGGAGGTTGGACTAACTAAATACACTTATTCTGATGAAGCACAAGAAATTCCTCAGTCATCTGCTACTGAATTTAAGAGGTTGAACAGAGTCACACGATTGATACAGAGATATTCTCCTTCTTTGTACTATATTTTATTAACTGATAGTGATGAATCAAAGTGCTATGAAAAGCCACTCAAGTTCAATACTCAAAGGAGTGAGATTTTGTTATGAATGATGTGAAGCAACACTGAGGTCAAATCAAACTTGGGATTTGACATTATTATGATATGAAAAAATGAAACTACACAACAAATGAATTTACATGTTGAAAGAAGAATTAAATGGTAACATACCTTACAAGACAAGACTTTTTGTGAAGGGGTTTCAACAGAATGATGGGGTGGACTACTCAAATATTTTCTCATGTAGTGAAGTTGGCAATTATTGAACTTGTGTTAAGCTTTGTAGCAGAGGATTTTCTACATGTGGAGCAGATGGATGTAAAGACAATCTTCTTACATTGTGATATGGAAGAGGAAGTTTACGTGGTGCAACAACAAAGATATGAAGTTCCAGGGAAAGAAAACATGATCTGTAGATTGAAAAAGAGTATTTATGGTTTGAAGCATTCCCTAAGACAATGGTATAGGAGGTTTGATAAGTTTATGTCAAATAGTCGGTCAAGCAGATCACTGTTGCTTCATAAAAAAATTTGGTAATTATTTTATCGTATTTTTGTTGTATGTGGATAACATGCTGATTGCGATAGAAGATATGGAGAAAATCAGGGGTTTGAACAAACAATTATCAAGGGAGTTTGAGATTTAGAATTTAGGTCCGATCAAGAAGATCCTCGGCATGAGAATCAGCAGGGAGGGGTGTCTAGGTACAGGAAGTTTATCTCAAAAAGAGTATATTGAGAAGATCCTACAATTTGAGTGAAACAAAATAAGTTTGCACCCTCTTCAGTATGTACTTCAAACTATCTAAGGAACTTTCACATGAAGCAAAGAAAGCATAAATGGGAAGAACTCCATATGCTTATATTGTTGGAAGTTTGATGTATGTGATGAGAAGTACAAGACCAAATATTGCATAAGCAGAGAGAGTGGTCAACAACTATGTTGGTAATCTATGGGAGCATAATATAGAGGCGGTGAAAGGGATTCGTAGATACTTAAGAGGAACAATCAACACGACACTTTATTTTGGAGGTACGAAAATTAATCTAAATGGATAGATAGATTTTGTTCTGACATGGGATATTAAAGATAGAAGAAGTGCAACGAGTTATATCTTTATTTTTTGGAGTACAACAATGAGTTGGGTTGGTAACAATGGATACATTGTTATCACTTAGACTACAATGAGATGATTTGACTGCAAAGCCTTATGACAGAATTGGGCTAGTAACAATGGATGTGAAAACTTCATAGTGATATATGAATGTTATTCATCTAGCTAAGAATATAGTTTTTTATATCAAGACGAAGCACATTCACCTAATTTATCACTTTATTCATTATTTTCTAGCAGATTAGTAGCTATTCTTGGAGAAGATACCTACAGCTTAGAATTCTGCTGATATGTTGACTAAAATGGTTGCAACTAAAAAATTGAAGCTATGCTTAGCTTCAGTTAAAGTTCAAAAAAATTGAGATCGGGGGTGAGCTACATTACAATATACTACTATAAATATTGTGCAAGTTTGGAGGACAGGTGATTGCAATCGGTGTCCAAGTGAGAGATTGTAATGTGTGGAGGTTGATTGCATCAAGTCAGGAAAATCAAACCTTGAATTTGCATTGGGCGACCCAGTGCTTGGCCAGGCGACCGACACTTGTCTAGCCATGGGAGACCTATTTCCGAGGAGGTCTCCATCACCAGGGAGGGTAATCTAGGGCCCGGAGCTTAGATGAACGTTTTTTGAAATAGATTGGTGTTTTTGAAGTAGAATTTGGAGTAGCTCTTGGAGTGCATGAATGAGGGCAAAAGATAGAATGAGTGGTGTGTGCAGAAGAGCATGCGAAGTTATGTGGGTGGATTTCTGTAATTTCTCTTATGTGATAGAGAGAGGAGGAGCGCTTGTAAGTTCCATGATTGTAGATAGAATTTGAGTGTGGTGTAATCTGTACGTTTCTCCTTATTTCATAGTGAATTTCTTGGTGTGATTTGACTCCGTGATTTTTTCCCGTTCTTTGGTTTTTCCACGTTAAATCTTTGTGTTCTCTTTATGAGTTTTTATTTGCACACTTCTGTTCAATTTTTGTACTTCAGTTCTCTCAAATTGGTGTTTTTTTTGCAAATCTAAGGAAGTAAATTTTCTCCCCACATATTTATCAGCTGTCTGTTGTTTTTATAGGTGTTCTTGGCATTCATTCAATGCTAGTTTTTATTTTTATTTCTCAGTCTCTGAGTTTTTTCTTATAATCTTTAAAGATCCGTGAAGTGAGAAAGTTATTGGAACCAGTGCCAGAAAAATTGTTGCTCTACTGTTCTGATGCATCAATTGCAAGATATTTAAGGGCAAGAAACTGGAATGTGAAGAAAGCTGCTAAAATGCTGAAGGAGACATTGAAATGGCGTCTTGAATATAAGCCTGAAGATATAAAATGGGTATGTGAACTTTTCCTAATGAAATCCAGTAAATACCTCACATATACTTCGAATAACAAATTTACAGTTTTTTTTTCTTCTTAATGCCGGATATTCTAAAATGCATCCATCCAATTGAGCATATATTTATTTTATTTTGTACAAATTGGCAAATGGCTTGTCCTAATGGCCAATGTTCATTGGCTACATATCGGAAGGCTTCCCTTGTTTGCAGAGCCAGGCTAATACCGTAATTTTGAATCTGCAAAAAGGATGAGAAGTCTAGATTTTAATTATTTTTTAAAGTGCTTCACAATTAACTTCTCAAAGTTCTGATTATTCCTTCTTCCTCTCTAATTTTTCATTGAAATTCATTTTTTTCTTTTCTAAGAACTATTGATATGGAAACCAGAGTCTAAAAAAGGAATTGTGTCGGTATTTCGAAAAATCAAGCTCTCCCTCACTTGAGACAATGTTAGGTAAGATTGAACATTTCAAAAAAAAAAAAAAAAAAGACGGCGAATAGGTTTTATTGGTGGTAGGGTCAAAACATCGATAACCTTTTCAGTGGGAGGAAGATATATTTAATTGAGAGGGGATCAAGTTTATTACGTGTCAGGCTGTGTTTCAAACAAAGGTTGCGCCCCCAAAATATTTGGAATCTAATAAGAAGAAGAACCAGCTAGTAGGAGAACATGACATCAATACAGATAATAGCATTTGAATGTTGTGGATTTTTGTGGGAACTCTATTGATGAGGTAGGTAGCGATAAGGACGGCGTCATTCCAAAAATGTTTGGGAATATTAGTTTGAAACATAATGAAATAAGTAACTTCGAGAATGTATCTATTTTTTCACTCTGCTATCCCTTTTTATTGTGGGGTATCCATACAAAAACTATGATGGAGGGTGCCCTTACTAACCAAGAATTCTCCCATTATAGAGTTAAAGTGCTCATGGTCATTGTCGGTCCGAAAGATTTGAATAGCGCTTTTGAATTTGGTTAGAATGAAAGAGTGAAAATTTTGTAATAGCAGCTTCAGATTTATCTTTTAATACGTAAACCCAAGACATTTAAGTGTGTTCATTAATTAGAGTAAGGAACCATCATTTATTGGCATAGCTCGAAGTTCGAGAAGGTTCCCATTAATTACTATGAATAAGTAAAAATGGGAGGAAGGAGTGGAAAAAATGGGAGGCAGGAGTGTAAGGATGAAGTGAATATGATACACTTTGATGTTCAACTAATTAAAATTTTACATTTTAAAGAAGATAGATTTTTATCAATAAACACTAAGGATACAATTGTTTTAAATAATGAAAGCAGAGATGACCCAAACGACAATGTACAAACATAATTGGACATGTGGTAGAAAAGGAAAAACTGCAATTACGAGATTGAGTGCTAACATCATTAAGCTATTTTCTTGGAAAAATAGAGGCCCGACTTCCCGCTTAGCAATTTCAACAATCCTCCCCAAACAACGATCCTGAGAGCCATAAAAATCAGGGAAAATATAAAATTCGCAATCAAGATAGCATGTTAACATACTAACCCACAAGATGTTACACTTAGGCAAAGGAACGTGTAACACGGATTTTAAAGTTAGCTTGACTACTAGTAAGACCGACCATTTACATGCAATGAAATTAAAGGCACCTTCAACAATTTTAATCGTATCTCGCCCAAAACAAAGAAAATACGATGAGAAAAAATGAGAACACTCGGTCATGTCTTCTGCGGCACTTGAATTGTTAATCCTCAGACCCTAAGAGACAAAATTAATGAGAGCCACAGAGACGTCACCTTGACTAACATGAGAGGTCGATGAGCTAGAGAATGACAAGAACCAAACAACTTAATCAAATATTTCACCTGACTTTTAATAAACTCCTCGAAGCGGAATATTTGGTCGAAAATTTATTCGTCAGTTTTCGAGTGGAGCTTTCAACACTTGTCAAGAATATAGTTGGGTTTGTGGAAAAAAATCACATGTAGAGTGATTGGCTCAAGACGTCGTGGTAGAGTATGAAGTACTGTTGGAGACCAGGCCTGACAGCTTGGCTGAAATATTTGAGTTGACGAGCAAGACAAGTCTCGGGCTTTCTTGGCGGCGGATCTCGATGAATGCTTATCGCGTTGAAGGAAGAGGGTCACGACCAAATATATGGCTGCGGACTTCATCAATATTCTTGTTCAGGTCAGCCTGAAATTGACGCACACGATCCTTTCCAAAATTTTATAGAAGAGGGAAAGATCTGTGGGTGAGACCCAAGTGTATTCATAGTAAATATCACATTCCGTTCATAAAGCAACCAAGTCGTTGAAGTATTGGGTCACCACCTTCAACCTCTGTTTAGCCTTGCGGACCTTATCAGAAACTTTATAAAGTAGTTTAGATTTTTGTAAGTCGGAGTAGGTATCGTGAATGACATTTCATAGGGCACTTGCAAACAGAAAAACAAGTAAGAACAACCAATTGGGGTCTCCTTAGAATTGAATACTCATGACATAACCATGGAGTTCTCCACTTCTCACACATATGTTGGGTCAGTCTTACAAGGTTCTCGAATTGTACCTGTGAGGTTGCTGAATTTATTCCGACCTTTGACGAACAACAAAACAGCTAACAGGCCACTGGAGGAAATTGAAACCGTTGAGTTTTCGAATGATAATCAGGAAATTCATGTGGTGTTTAGGTCCTCTGGTTTGCAAAGGGATTGAGGTAAATGTCGAATCTCCGGTGGAATAAAGAATAACGTCGGACGGAAGCTCAGAGATGGAGGAATCAACCATGGCTCCAACAGAGTAAAAGAAGATGATTGGTTGCCGAGGCACGAAAGGAGCCGATCCTTGCATTTGGCAAGCTGCGGGGAAGACTTTCCATTTGTAGGAGTTAGTTTCAGTTGGAGGAGGGACTGCAACTGGGAATTTTGGCTGCAGGGAGGAGTACCGACCTCGGAGAAAAAAATGAAATGAAGATTTTTTATGCAGGAAGAAGCCAGGAAGGAGGCCTGAAAGGAGAAAAGGGGCATGAAGGAGTTCCAGCTGCAGGAAGGGGATTTGGCTAGACAGTTGGATGTCTAACGTCTAGGGTAAGATCTCTTGCTCTGATACCATGTAGGTTCAGAGCATTGAGCAAAATACCTTTATTTATATTAAATGATGGCTTAAATATTACTGACTAGAATTCTAGCTTAGGAAAAAATTAACTCCTAGAATTCTAAATTTTGAAAAGAAATAATACCCAATATTACAAACATCAAATCAAATAAACTAAAAACAAAAATTCTTATAACTAGCCAAAAATAAAAGGAAATACATAAATAGGAAATAACTTAGAAATAAATAAAATCCTAATTTAGTTTCTAACATTAAATACTAGAGTTAGCTACCCTTGCCTTGTGGAATTGTGGCTCCCTTCAATTCAAGTATGTAGCTAGCTGCCTGTGGCTTGCAAAATTATGGCTCCCTTGTGTTCTCTATATAATTAACTCCATTCAAATTTAAAATAGAATTTGAAGTCCTAACAATACTTCATATTATCTCCTAAATGGCCGCCTTGATTTTCCATCATATTAACAATAAACCTCCAAAATTTGTATTTATCCAATTCTAATTTTAGCCACTCTTCTATAACCTTCTACCATGCCCCATTTTTTATAGTCAAATGAGACATAGTAGAGACGGGCAATTCAATAGACATATTTTCCACCAATATTCATCTTAACTTCACTAAATAAAATTAAGTGAGTAAAAAATTAATCTTTTTAGATCATTTTAGAACATGATTTCACTTTCTTAATCATTCATAATCATTAATATAGAAATTTGCATATTTTAATTCATTAAAATAGACTATTGGGCTTTTAAGGAACTCCATATAAAATTTATAGAACCAAAAGTTTTAATTTACATGATGCACATCTTTTTCTTTATATCAAACATCCATAATTGTACATCAGAATTATAGGATGAAAGTTAAATCTAGGTCACCTAATTACTGCCTCACCTACTTTTTTTCTTTTAACTTAAATTATAGTCAATATGATATTGGATAATTTAAAAGCATAGTAGGTTAAATAAGTTTATTATATGATTACAAGAAATGAAAATAATAATATTCATCTAATTTTTTTAACTAACTTGAGCATTATCAATCACATGCATGATTAATTTGTTGCAGATAATTATGGGAAATCAATGAAATGAAGTTCTTTGATTTGGTTTTAATTTGTATATGTAACAAATTTGTAATCCTAATTAATTGTTTTTAAATCCATCACAACGTCCACTTCGATGCTGCCATTGCATAGGGGTGTAAACGAGCTGAACATGAGTGAGCCCACGCTCAACTCGTGTTCGGCTGGTTTATATTTTGAGCTCAAAAAGTGTGTTCGTGTTCGACTTGTTTGCTTAGTGAGCTGAACACGAGCTATTCACGAACAAAGAGTTGTTTTGACAACCCTAATCACTAATCACATGGTCATTAGATGTTAAGGGTTGGGCCAATATTTAAAAATTATTGTTTATATTAAAACATCATTTGAATCTAATTTAATAATCTTTATTCTATTTTCTTAATTAATACTTTCATTTGATTATAAATTTTTGTAGCCTTGTATATATATATATATATATATATTATGAAAAGCCCAAGGGGTGATTTTATTGAG